GGATGTGTTCTCGGAAAATTAGATCGATAAATTTATACTAGTGTATGGGAGTATGTGAGTTTATTTATTGGATCAACGAAGTTATATTTTATCCTATTTTACGTAAAAACGTTTATGTGATATTTTTGTAAAGAGTTGTTAGACCCGAGTATGTGTTATAGGATTTCGTGATATGGTGATATCATGTGACATCCCATAAATCTCGGCCAGAAAAGACCGATTTTCATTTATGCTTTTAAAATAATTTCCGAGTAAATCCTTTTGATTTGAAAGAGTTGCAGAATTTGTTCCCAAAAACAAAACATGATAAAACAATGTTTACCATAGCATTTCATAAAAGAAATGTATTTTCATTACATAATCAAAACTCGGGGTGTCATGTTCCGATACAGACCAATAAGCATAAACGATAACATTACAAGTCATTCAACAAATATATACATATACAGACTTGTAAACAAAACAACTTGATGGTTCATCCATCTTACGCCCTTGCGCCACTTCCTGTAATACAAATAAAACTGAGTGGGTCAGGCTTGGGAGCCTGGTGAGCATATAGGGTTTTCAACCCACAATAAATAATTAAATTAATTATTATCAACCAACAATAACCCAATTACCCATTCCCGTTATTCTCACTTTATGTCCCTAAAATAACTAACACAAGAGACCTAGTCTAAGAATATTTCATCGGGGTGACAACACATGCTTCGGGGGTTCCTCAGCAATATAAGTCAAATAAGGCAACCATGAGGGGGATGGAATACAACGAATGAACACCCAAGTTCATTAACACCTACAGGTTATGAGCCTGCTAGCGTTCCACTGGACTGTCTAGAAAAGCCCGTGGTGGTCATCTAAATTCCGCTAGATGATTGGATCAAAACAACATCGAGGCCTCTCATCTGTTTATTACACACCAACTATCTACCCATGTTCTACCCAACATATTAGTAGATAAAAATATATATTTTTATACGTAGTTTAAAACCTGCATAGCATTCTCATTCAATACATATTCCAAAACAACAGATGAGACACATACACATAACACGTATTTCATAGAGAATAAATCATATCTATGAGATAGAAGAAAGTGAATATACATTCACGCATATAACAACAAAATATACACATAACATGTATTTTTATATTAAATACTTGATAATTATGCGTTACAAGAAAGTAACCACACACTCACACATATAAACAACAATATACTTAGTACACTCAAATCATACTTGTATTATTATCGTGTTTATGAAAGGTAGTATACACTCACTTGATCAGAAGATGATCGGACAACACTACGGCTCGTAGAAGTAGTAATCCTTAGCAGATATGGAAGATCTCTACAAAAATCGAACTTCTCGCGGGCAGAGCTTTGGCTCGGAAACCGCACTTCTCGGGATCTTCGGGATCTCAGGACTATTACCGGGGCTTCGGGGTATTTCTGGCACGCAAATCGATGCAAAACGGGAGAGAGAGGAGAGAAAAATAGCAAAGAAACTCGGCAACCTCACATCCTATTTATAGGAGGCTGATGCCTCGCAGTACGCGGGGCGTACTGGCGTCCGAAATCGTCACTGCATGCGTCATCTGAAGTGTCGACACTCTTCGCTATACGCGGGGCGTACTCCGGATGAGCCCGGTGACTCGCCTTCGGATAAGGCCGGGTTTAATAATTAAATTTAATTATTAATTATTTAATAAACTTCGGAAATTCATATCTTCTTCATACGAACTCCGTTTTCGACGTTCTTTATATCCACGCGAAGATGAGACTACGCTCTACAACTTTCGTTTAGACTCCGTCGGCTAATTTTGACTTTATTTTTAATATTTATTTTAATAGGCCGGGACAGAAAATTTCGTTATAAATTCATAACTTCTTCATTTGACGTCCGTTCTCGCCTAACTTTTTATCGCTTTGATACTAACAACGAGATCTTCGATTCTCGTTTAGATCACTAAGGCTAAATATCGCTCTAACGTAAATTTCACTTTTTACGTCATTCAGCGTTGTCGGTTCTATCGCGAAACTTCGATAGGTCATAACTTCTTCGTTATAACTCGGATTTCGGCATTCTTTATATCTTCGGAAACCTTGTTTCAACTACTACAACATTATCTAAAGATATCAAGTTTATTTTACACTTAAATTTTGACGCTTATTGTTATTCTTAATTAATCAAACCACATAATTAAGCAATTAAGCACAAAACACATAATACTCATATAATACACTTCTATTATTTCAAAACGGGTTACAAAGGTTAACCTAGACTATTACATTGCTGAAAATAGCAAGCCCAGAAACACAGGCGTTACATATCACAAACCCGATGATTTGTTAAATTTTAATCTAGTCATTTTGGGATAAATACCCTATTTTATCGAGATTTGCCAAATTAATTTGCGGCTTGTGGGGTAAAGTCGTTAGTGAATTATATTTGAAAACGTAACTAGTTTGGGTGGCAATTAGTTATCGAGTATTGTTTGTGATCATGTAATTGATCAATGTTATGGATATAATGATGTGATTAGACAAGTTCTAATGAACTTGATATATTGTCCAAAAAGGTTTGGACATGTGATGAATAGGAAAGTAGCGTTGAGGTGAAGACTAGAATAATAGTTAGTCTTCACCAACTAACGAAGTGAGTAATCTTATCTTTTTCTAGATTATTGTTATCTAGATACGTGATAATTATTGTGCATACTCACAGTTGAGTATAATATTTGAATTGTTAATATTTAATATTGTATGAGTTAAGTAATTGTGATAATTGTTAATAATGATTGTTTAATACTATTTGATTTATTAAATAGAGTAATTGGAAATTATAGTATTTTAATACTATCTTAGTCAACATACCAGTATAACTGAGATGCATAGTAAGTATTACATTTTTAACATGTATAATTGAGATATGAAATCGAGTATTAAATGATGCGTTAATATGTAATTATGGTTGAGACGTGTAATTGGATATTACTATAGGAGTTAAGGAGATATAGATGCAAATATAGGAAGAGAGATAGAGATAGAGATGCAAATAGGGTGAGAGAGATGGAGCTAGAGACGTGGAGAGACGAAGATGGAGTTAGAGAGAGAGAGAGAGAGAGAGAGAAAGATATAGAGAGAGTGAGAGATGGAACTAGAGATGTAGAGAGGGAGAAGAAGAAGGTGATAGAGATGTAGAGAGGGAGAGGGATAAAGTGATAGAGATGTAGAGCTAGGAAGAGAGAAGTAGATAAAGATGCAGAGAATGAGAAAGAGATAAAGCTAGATATATAGAGTGGGAGAGGGAGAGAGAGAGAGAGAGATGAAGATAAAGATGTACATATAGGAAGAGAGAGATATAGAGAGGTGAGATAGTAGTAGAGATATGTAAAAAGATAAATAGATAGAGATGTAGAGAGAGCGAGAAATGGAGTATGCATTATGAATCATGGAGAGAGAGAGAGAGAGAGAGAGTGTGTGTGTGTGTGTGTCTATAGAAACACTAAGATATATATAGTTAGTGAAAAGTAGAGTGTGTGTATCGAGAAAAGAGAAATAAAGATAGGAGAAGAGAAAATGAGAATAAATATAAAGAATATAAAGTAATAAAATGAGAAACAAATGACAACTTGAGTAGTTGTATGTCCATTACTACTGTATTTAAAGAAAATAATTGAGTTATAATTATTATGAGAACTGAAATAAGAATTACTCACTAAGCTCTTTGGAGCTTATCCTTTTTGTAATGTGTTGTGGAGATAAATTTATATAAGCAAGGAAAGAAATAAAGAGATTGTAATACCTGACTCGGATCATTGTATTTAATTTTCTTTGAATCGATCATGTTGATAACTACTTGTACCGGATTGTTAATGTAAGTGAACACCAATGTAAAAAATGAATTTTTTTGGTATACCTTGTGTTAAAAAGCCGTGTGTAACCCGAACTATTCTTGTGACTATGTGGCATGTGCATAATGATCGTGTACAATATCGTGGTCTCTTTCTCTCTCTCACAGACAATTACTTCTCTGAAAGAAAAACCATACCAATGACATGAATAGCGTAACCCAACGGACAAACTAAAAGAACCAAAATAAAAACGTGCTACTTACTTTTTGGTTTTTTTTTTTTTTTTTTTTTTTTTTTTTTTTTTTTTTTTTTACAAATAACTATTCAGATTGCAAAATCACTTATTGCTATGAAATGATCCTTTCTATTTAAAGTAAAATTTAGACTTTTTCTTTATTTTTTATAAACCTATCTCAACCCTCTCTTATATTATGAACCTTAATTTTGATGTAAAAGTAGTTTTTGAATATTTACAAAAAAAAATGTTCAAATTCATTTTTTTAATAAAAAAAATATGAATTTTACAATAATATCCAATTTCACATGTATATAAAAACATATTTAGAATATATGAAGGATTGTTTTGGGCATATAGAACCAGTTTTACAGAATAATCATGTCATAACATTAATCGTTATTTGTGAAAAAAAAAAATCAGATTATCACTATATATTATAAAATAGGGTAAATTACATCAATCGTCTCTCATGCATATGCCGAAAAGCACGTTCAGTCCCTATTTTCAAAAATTAACTCGGACCGTCCCTTGTTTGGCTTAAACTTGCACGGTTAATCCCTCGTTAGTTTAAATTTGCATGATTCATCCTTTGCCTCACATAAAATGACTATATTGCCCTTGTTTTTTTATTTTGTATTAATAAGAAAAACAAAAAATAAACTTTAATCGGATATTTTTACATTTATTAATAATTTCTAAACATTTACCTATCACCCCCACCCTATTTACCAAGAAATACCCAAACTCTCCGATCCCTCTGTTCACCGTCCCTCGCCTCCCTTTGAAACTAAAATCCGGCCACCGGAGATACAACGACCACCAGAAACCCGCATGATCGTCGCCATGGACTACCACCTCATTTTCCTTCCTATGTTCATGTCGGAAATAACATCACCACCGACGATTATTGATTTAACACATCCACCATCGACCTTCTTCCTCCTCCTTCTCTTGATTTTTCCAATACCAAAATCTTCACCACATTCCGCCCAATCTTCTCCAGATACTCAGATTTATGCTCTTTCGTATACCCAATTCCACTGCTAGAAATCACCACTTTCTCCACCATCTTCTCCTCCATCTCCGCCATCCAGTACACCACAAACCTCTGTAACTAATTATATACACCAAAATTCCATTAACCCCTAATTTCTTCATTCTATTACACACACAAACAAACACATACTTCACCTGAAACACCTATGTAAGCTTTGTCCTTATCAAGTATGATTTGGTGAAAAACACCAGATCTGGTATAGTGAAATCATGTGTCAATAGAGATACGTGCAATATGAATTACCACTTGAGTTACCTCCGTAGCCATGGATGAGAATGAGGTTTAGTTTGTTCTAGTGGTGGCGGTTTTCCACTCATATGTGGTTGCCCTCTCCCTTTTCTTCTTCTCCGATAAGCTTCTTTTGTCCCCATTTTAAATCATCTCGGATATGGGTCCCAAATCGAAACAAAATATCAGTATTTACGTCGTTCCTCTCTAACCATTGTGACCTAAACGGGTAAAACCTAGTAGAAAGTTGCAGATTAACCCTCGCATCTTCATCGTTTCTGGTTTCAAGTTGTAGATTTGTTAAGTTGCAGGATTTCTGGTTTCAAACAATTGAATTTTTTTTTTCTGGTTTCTTCTTCTTCTTCAAGGGACGACGATGGATGTCGGTGGTGATGGTAGATGGTGGAGATGAGATGGAATGAAGAAGAATATAGGGGAAGAGACGGGTTATGAAGGTGTTTAGGTTTAGGGTCTATTTCTTTTTTTTTTTAAAAGGCAATAAATAATTATTTTTATAATAAATAAATAATAAATAACAAATAAATAGAAAATAAGTCAAAAAATAAATAAATAAGGGTAAAATGGTCTTTTTATATGCGGAGGGACTAACCGTGCAAGAAAAAACACACTCAAGGATGATCCGAGTTAATTTTTAAAAATAAGAACTGAACGTGCTTTTTGATATATAGACGAGGCACTGGAGTAATTTACCCTATAAAATACCATTCCAAAAATATTAAACTTTTTTCATTTTCGTTGTATAATTTTGAACTTTTAATCAATAAACGTATTTACACGATAGCCGCCAATGTGGAACTCATCTAAATATCCCACTTGTGTCTCGGTCTGTCCCTAACGACTGAAGGCTCCCATTATTTAATGCTGAATTCCAATATTACGATAAGATCAAATAAGAAAATTGTACTCCCTGCATCAATGTGTGTACATCGTCCCCACGATGTTCCGAGTATTGTTGCATCGGTGCTATTTCTTTTCTTTAATTTATTGCAATATTTAACAATAAAACTTTAACGTAATAACAGTATTAAAAATAAGATAATATTTTCCAATATCCTTAATCATTATATTTACGAATTATTGAATAAAGTTTGACTAGAATATGGTTGAATGAGATTGTTTTGGTATGTATATATACGTAGAGCTGTTTATGGTTTTGATCACATAATTGAAGGAGATACACATTAAGCTTTTGAACTGTAAAGAGAAAATGGATAGCACGTTGGAGTCGATGAAGGACGGAGAGGCCACCGTTGGAGGCGGTGTTGAGGACGTCTACGGCGAAGATCGTGCCACCGAGGATCAACTCGTCACGCCTTGGACTGTTTCCGTCGCCAGGTATATCTCGCTGCTACAAGTATCGCTTACTTTAGTTTGTGCTAATTTTGTGATTATTTTTGCTTACTGTTTGAGTTTAATTAGCTTGGAATGACTACGAGCTCGATTCAGATTTTGTTTTTCAAATATGATTGTTAATAAGCATTTGGATGCATGTTTTTGTAGTTGTATAAGCTAAATCTGTACGGATAATCTGTATACGTGTAGTATGCAACCGGCTTTCGGTCCGTTTGATCGGAGTTATTTGTTATGCTGAATTGACATTTGCGGATCACGATTCACAGATTTATGATCGTTTAATGTACTTTAAATTCTGCTGATTTCATGAAACGATTGCTGTTTGTAGTGGATACACTTTGCTGAGGGATCCACGCCATAACAAGGGGCTTGCGTTCACCGAGAGGGAAAGAGATTCTCATTACTTACGAGGTCTATTGCCTCCGGCTGTTTCAACACAGGAGCTTCAGGTTTGCATTTGTCCCCAATATCTCTATAGACACTGAAGATCAATTTGGGTTAATTCTGATTTAGCTTACATGAGACCTGTATGATCCATCAGGAGAGGAAATTGATGCAAAGTATTCGCAATTATGAAGTTCCCCTGCACAAATATGTGGCTATGATGGAACTTGAGGTATCATTCGAAACTTTTATGACTTTTTTTTTTCTTTGATTTCCTGTAATCAACGTTTTTTCACAAGTTCATAATATCATTCATCCTGTTTTCTGTTTATTCCAAATACTCATTCTACTATGGCTTATAGGAACGAAATGAGAGGCTGTTCTACAAGCTTCTTATTGACAATGTAGAAGAACTTCTCCCTGTTGTATACACTCCTACAGTTGGTGAAGCCTGCCAGAAATATGGAAGTATTTTCAAGCGCCCTCAGGGTCTATACATTAGCATGAAAGAGAAGTACACCTCTCACATTCACCTTTTTTACTTAAATCACTTTAAATTAGCATGACTTGACAATGAAATAACTCAAATTCTCAGGGGAAAGATTCTTGAGGTGCTCAAGAACTGGCCTGAGAGGAGTATTCAAGTTATTGTGGTGACAGATGGAGAACGTATCTTGGGACTTGGAGATCTTGGATGCCAGGTAAAACATAAGCTAATTTTTCTTTCCTTCATGATTATTTTCATCAATGTCATTATAGTTTTATCAGATGAAACAATATTGTATTCTAAAAAACACTTATTTTTGTACAGGGTATGGGAATTCCAGTTGGGAAACTCGCGTTATATACTGCACTTGGAGGAGTTAGGCCTTCTGCTGTAAGTTGTTTGAGTACTTACTTTTCTACTTATTTAAATTACGTAGATAATAAACTACTAAACACTTTAAATTGCAAATTTATTCATGATCATTACGTTTTCCATGTAGTGTTTGCCAATAACCATTGATGTGGGGACAAATAATCAGAAGCTACTCGATGATGAATTCTATATTGGTCTTAAACAAAAGAGGACCACTGGAAAGGTACATTAAAGTTGTGTACATTTATTGTAACTTAACCATATCCTTTATATAATATAAATACAAGTTTTGACTTTTTAATTTTTTTGTTTCTGCAGGAATATTATGACTTGCTTGAAGAGTTCATGTCTGCAGTAAAGCAGAACTATGGTGAAAAAGTTCTTGTACAGGTAAATAATCCATGTAAAACTGTAAGTTTTTATAACCTGAAAATGCATCTTTTCATGTAAACTTATTTGGGTACTGTTTAAAATTTTCAGTTTGAAGACTTTGCAAACCACAATGCATTTGAGTTGTTAGCCAAATATAGAAACACTCATTTGGTATTCAATGATGACATACAGGTATTAATTATTATGATTATGATTACCTTTACTATTATTATTGTGATGATTATTAAGTTTGAATATTTTGTTACAGGGGACTGCATCTGTGGTTCTTGCTGGTCTTGTTGCATCATTGAAATTACTTGGTGGTAGTTTGGCTGATCACACATTCTTGTTCCTTGGTGCTGGAGAAGTAAGCATGTCTATTTTTGTCAATTGTGCAAAAAAATCTTTTCTTTTACATTAAAAGATTTAATTTTTAATATACATTCATCACATAAATTGAATTTCAGGCGGGAACTGGTATAGCTGAGCTTATAGCTCTTGAGATATCAACAAAGGTACCACCTTCATACTTAGGCATAATTATAAACCTAAATATAATAATTTTGTCTTTTATTATTGTTTATAGACAAATATTCCTGTGGAAGAGACTCGTAAGAAGATATGGCTTGTGGATTCCAAGGGTTTAATTGTTAGTTCTCGTAAAGAATCCCTTCAACATTTCAAGCAACCATGGGCTCATGAACATGAACCTCTCACTACTCTCTTGGATGCTGTTAAGGTGAGACAATTTCTTATGTTTTTTCTTTCTTTTCTTTTTGATTAGTTTTTTCTAATAATTAAAATTTTATTTCCAATCATTTGTCAGGCCATCAAGCCATCTGTCCTGATAGGAACATCAGGGGTAGGACAGACATTTACAAAAGATGTGATTGAAGCCTTGGCAGCTGTCAATGAGGTGGGACACAGTACTCAATCTTGCTATCTCGGTCTGTGTAAAAAGACAAGAATGCCCTCCAATAATGAAATACTAATAATTTTTGTATGCAGAGACCTCTTATTATGGCTCTCTCGAATCCAACCTCACAAGCAGAGTGCACTGCTGAACAAGCTTACACATGGACAAAGGGCAAAGCGATATTTTCAAGTGGCAGTCCTTTTGATCCTTATGAGTACGATGGCAAACTCTTCATTCCTGGCCAGGCAAACAATGCTTACATTTTCCCTGGATTAGGGTTTGGTTTGGTTATCTCTGGTGCAATTCGTGTTCATGATGAGATGCTTTTAGCAGCATGTAAGTGTACCAATTTCAGTCATTGTCAGTAAATTTCACATTATTATTTATTTATTCTAATTATTTTTGATACAGCGGAAGCATTGGCTAATCAAGTAACGCAAGAGCACTATGATAAAGGGATGATTTATCCTCCGCTTACTAACATCAGAAAGATTTCCGCTAATATTGCTGCCAAAGTTGCTGAGAAAGCATATGACCTTGGTATGTCGTGTTTTCGTACTTTGAAGTTTAAATTTGGGTTGGGAGTAATAATAAATAATAATAATAATTGGGCGAATGATATTTCAGGTTTGGCAACGCGTCTTCCACGCCCAACGGATCTATTGAAGTACGCTGAGAGTTGCATGTACACACCCAACTACCGCAGCTACAGATAAATGATTAGAGCTAATAACTCGTGTTTGGATCGAGTTGAGTTTGTTATCATCATGTATTTGTGTTCCCTTTATGTATGTTGTAATTTTTCTCTTGTTTTGTAAGTGATTTGGTGAGGGTTTTCGGACATGGTTGGTTGTGGTGTGTGTTGTTGTCTCAGAGTTCTATATTTATAAAAGGTAAATTGAATAAAGCGAGCATAATTATTAGCCTAGTTTATATTTATGTAAACTATTAGATTTATTGTATACTTGAGGGGTGTATACTGTATCATTTTTCTAGTATTTATATAAGATAACTTCCATGCCTATTGGTGTGGTATTCCATTCATTACATGGTATCAAGAGCCCTTCAACCCCTCCCTTCCTCTCCTTCCTCATAACCGACTTCTCTATTGTTTCCGGCGATCTCACCATGGCCGACTCCTCTAATGACTCCACCCTCCCGATGAACACCCTCATTCATCTCATCACCATTCGTCTCTCTTCTTCCAATTATCTTCTTCCAATTATCTTTTGTGGGTA